CAGGGAGCTCACCCATATGGGGCAGCAGTCCTCTCCTGTCCCCCGCGGCTCCCCTCAGCAGTGTACTTCATCAGTCTGCCTGTTCTGCTCCCCGCTCTGTCTCTGGTGAATCTTCACCGCCCCTGCACCTCTGGCCTGTACCCAGTTCTGTGTGCATAAATAAAAATGGGCACAGAGGACTTGACTAGGTATTTCTACCAACTGGCCAATGGGCACAAGCAAAGATACTCAACCTCACTAATACTAGGAAAATGCCAATTAAGGCCACCCAGGACCACTCACTCACCATAGGACGCCTGCCCTCAATATCACTATGTAAAACAAATGAACCAGTACTGGAGAGGATTAGCGCAGACGCAAACTTCACCCCCTGCTCCTGGGAATGTAAAAGCTCCAGGCCACCAGCCTGGAGCTTCCTCAAATGTTAAAAATAGAACTGCCACGCGATGCAGCAATGCCATGGCTGGGTGTAGACTCAACAGCCTTGGAAGCAGGGCCACGAAAAGGGACTTGTACACACACACTTCTAGTAGCATTATTCTCAACAGCCAACGGAGAGCAGCTACCAATTGTCCATTGACGGGCGAATAGCAAACTAGATCTGGAGATACGTACACTGAAAGATCAGCTCTAGAAGAAAGGAACTTCCGACACGCTACGGCAACCTCGAGGACATTATGCTGAGGGAAATAATCCGGACACAAAAGGACAAATATATGATTCCATTCACATGAGGCACCCAGAGTAATCAAATTCACAATGACGGGAAATAGGATGATGCTTGCCCGGGGCTGGAGGGACCAGTGGGGCTGCTGTTTTGTGGGGATGGATTTCCAGTTTTGCAAGATGAATGACGCTCCATGCATCAGGTGAAGATGAGCGTACCACAGTGTGTGTGTTTTTGAAACCACTGAGGGGTAGACTGAAACATGGCTACAAGGTAATTTTTTTTTATTATTTTTTATCTTATCTTTTTTTTAAGATTTATTTATTTATGCATACAGAACTAGGGTACAGGCCAGAGGTGCAGGGGCGGTGAGAGGCTTCACCAGAGACAGAGTGGAGAGCAGAACAGGCAGACTGATGAAGGACACTGCTGAGGGGAGCAGCGGGCGGGTCAGGAGAGGGCTGCAGCGCCATGTGGTCACCTCCAGGGCGGGGATTGAACCCTTGCTGAAGGGGCTGCGGCTAGCTTGCAGTGCTGTGTCCTAACCTGTTGCGCCACCAGGGAGGGCCCTACATGGTAAATTTTACGATATATAATTTACCAGCATTTTAAAAACCACAAAAGAGCCAAAGAAGTGGGTCCCTGCAAAGGTGGGTCAAGAGAGCTGTGTGAATCAAGTTATGTTTAAGTTACGTTTGGGTGAGTGTGTTATGGAGACCCATTTTATGAAGCCCTTGACTGCCCTGTTTTCATCCATCGGCATTTGCCTAGATCAGCTGTGCTGGCGCTCAGCTCCATTGTCATTCACATCACTGTCCTTTCCTTAGACCGCTACATGCTGCTGGTCCCGGACAGGCTCTCTGAGGTGCCCCTGGTCCTCTGGCTCCTGCGTGGTGGCGTCAGCCTCCTGTCTGCGCGTCTCATTGTGGCTTGTGAGCTTTCCATAAATTACCATCCAGCCCGAGCTCTCCCCAGCGCACCTTGAGCGGTAGCTGTCTGCTCACAGCCTTCCAGCCTCTCCACCTCAGCTTGGTCCAATCCAGACTCATGCTTTTCCCTTGTTCTGCTGAATTTCTGGTTTCTGCAGAAGGTGTCGTCATTTTCTGGTGTCTCGAGTGTACAAACACACACTTCTCTGCTCCCCGTCTTCTGGATCTGCTCAGCTGCCAGTCCTGTTGCATGTTCTGCCTGGGGTCCCCACACCCTGCAAGTGTCCTTGTCTCACCGTGCCTGACGGCTGCACCACAACTGTCTGCAGCTCTTCTTGCCTCCAGCCTCTCCTTGAGCCAGGTGAACTGTCCAGAGGAACAGCAGGAAGAGGCAGCCCTGCTCCCTGAGCTAGGATTCGCCCACCCGGAGTGGGTTCACCTCCAGGAGGGGCCACAGCACCAGTCACGGAGGCCTGGGTGGCATCTGGCCAAGAGCCCATCCACAGAGGCGAGGACAGGTAAGAGGGCGGGGAGCGACTGCTAACCTGAGTCTCCAGGTCAGGTGGGTGCTACAGTTCCAGATGACCGTCCTCCAGGGGGCAGAAAGTAGCCACAGTGAAGGGCGGAGGGGCAAGCCCATCCAGTGGGGGGCAGCCAGTGACCAGCAGGGCCAGGCCTGCAGCCCGGGGCCACTGTGGGGCTCTGGGCGTGGGAGGGGTGGACTCCTTGGGCCTGACCAGGGCAAGCAAGGGGTGTTATAGTGTCCCCTGGATGCAGGGTGCTTGGCCGCTCTGGGAATCCCTGTGTTGGGCTTTCACCTACAGGGACCCTGCACGTCCACTTCCTCAAACCCCACCATCTTTGGAGCACATAGATCAGATGCCCCTTCTTCCTTGAAGCTGTCATTCTGCCAGGCTGTGATGTTCTTTCTCTATGTCTGTAGCCTTTTCATTCATCTCCCTAATGCACTTTCTACCTTGAACTGTATTTACTTAAGTCGCCAGTTTACTAGACTATAACTTTTGGGGGGAGGAGGGATTCACATCTGAGCTAGCACCGTGGTGTGGCTCAACCTATAGCCCTTGATTTCATCCACACCGTTACCTTTTATTTGTTTCTTTGAATCAGCCCAGCCAGTCAAGTAGCGGTCACGCCCTCAGGCCTGCTGAGTTCCTCTGGCCTTCCCAAGGGCTGCTAACCAAACCTTTCCAGTTGCTCTTCCCCCAGGGGAATGCAAACCCCTTATGCTTTGGGACACCATATGCATAGTCCCCAGGGAAATGAGCTGTGTCGCTGTCACTTCCAGGCCAGGGAACTGAGGACAGTGGGGGGTGCTTTGGGTATTCATTTCCTTGTGCAGGACAACTAGTCTTTGGAGGTGTCTGCTCTGACAAGCTGAGCGCCCTTGAATAAATCCAGAGTAGAGGCCCCTTTGCTGACCTGGGGTGGGCACCTGGCGGCATGAGAAATCAGCCGCGGGAACCTGAAGGTCGGTATTGTGGCATGCCCAGCCCTGCCTGCCTGGTCGCCCAGCAGGAAGCCAGGGCCAGGGCCAGCATCCTGGCCAGCAGGGCTCCCCCACGGCCTCACTGGAGTGCCGGTAATTAGAAGCCCAGTGCAGAACAGAGGCCGCCCTCCGCCCTCCTCTCCATGGGCTGCCGTCTAAATTAATTATAAAAACTGGGGTGAGGCCCTCCCTGGTGGCGCAGCGAGTTAAAGCACTGCACTAAGAAGCTTAAGCCACTTCCTCATGAGTTCGATCCCTGCCTGCCCCGGAGGAGATCCACATGGCGTGGCAGACCCCTCCTGACCCGCCCGCTGCTCCCCTCAGCAGTGTATTTCATCGATCTGCCTGTTCTGCGTCCCCACTATGTCTCTGGTGAATCCTCTCACCCTCCACATCTCTGGCCTGTACCCCAGTTCTGTATGAATAAATAAATTTTTTAAAAAAAAAAAACTGGGGTGAGCGGAGAGGATCTTCTATTAAGTCAGAACGTTCTTTTTACATGTCGAGTCTGCAGTAGGGTTTTCTCATCACTCAGCCAGGTTGTGTTTTACGAGAGCAGGATTCTCTCCTGGTGGGCGAGAGCGTCACACTTCCTAGGTATGAGGGTGGTACCTGCTTCCCTGGTGAAGCTTTGGCATCCGGAGGGGCCAACTGATGAGCTGAACAGCAGAGGAAACAACAGAACAAAACACGGTGGATGCCAGTCTTGGTGGTGGGGGGGGGGGAGGACGGGTCTGCAGACTTTCATTGGGTAGAATAAAAACAAGCCCTTCCACTACACCTCTGAGCGAAAGCAAGTGGTTATGTAAGATAAAGATTAAAAAAATAAAAGCTGTGCACAGTCCTGCGTGTGTGTCTATGTGTGTGTGCCTGCTGACTCCTGAACTTCAGAACACACGACGACAAGAGAAATGGGCAGGAGACGATTTAATTGAATAAAAACTCCAGGCTGTGACAGGGGTGGGAAGACACAGAGCAGTAATTAACAACATAATTTTTTAAATGATGATGCAATTAATTAACATCTCGAGTATGTGGAGGCTGGGGGAGAAGGATCTTTCAGCCCAGAAACAAAGGACAAGGGAACTTTGCATTAAAAAAGAAATCTATGTGCAAAATGCCCTGGTTATTGTGACGTCACCAAAGCTCACCACAGCGACCCAAGAGGTTTCTCGTAGCAGAAGACATTAAAAATGAGTCAACCTTGGGTTTTGTTTTACACTGAAATTTCTAATTCGTTTTGTTCTCATCTGTGAGGGAGAGATGTTGGACCAGCTATTGACGCTGGCAGACACTCACTTTCCATTCTTGCTTCAGGTTGAGGATTTTCTCCCCTGAGATGCCTAGGGACAGGGTGTAGGGGGGGCCCTTGGGTCGGCTGCTGCACCTGGAGCAATTTACCCAGATGACAAGCGGGAGAGGAAGCAGTTGGTTCGGGTGGTGTGGGGCTGACCAGCTGCTGGGACGGCGGACTCCCTGCTCCAGAAGCGTGGGGTGCCCTTCCCCCTCCGGTGTGAAGGTGAGGTGACCGCGGGCCAGGCACACTGAGCTCTTTTGGAAAGACCCCTCGCCTTCATTTCTGGGCCCTGGGCGTGACCTTGCGTTCCTCTTGCTCTCTGAGAGCACATCCAGCCGTCAGGCTGTGCGTCTGCCTGACCAGAAGGGTCATCAACTACAAGACATCTGGGGAGAAGGCTTGTCTGATAGCAATGACACACTGGCCCCTATACTCGCCTCAGGTTCCATCCAGGGGGGAGCCTGGTTTTATCTAACTTTCCTTTTCTGAGCTGAAAACACCTTTTGCAGTGATGCCCACCTACCTCGCGCCCAGTCTGGCCACTTTTAGAACGACAAGCCTCCTCAAAGTTTGATCAGCACAGAAACCTGGGACCTTGGCTGAAAATGAGGATGACTTTATTGAGTTGCTGTCCCTAAAGCAGATGACACCTAGAAAGAGTAAGACACACGCATGTGGGTAGCTTTTCCGGTCTCGATCTTCCAAAGCAGAAAGAAGGCCTTCTTCCGCAGCCGGGGCCTCTCAAGGCGGAACCTCCACTCTGGAAATCGACGCGGTGTCGTGTCAAGTTGAAGTGGAAACTTCACACATTTACCAGGGCGATACAGACTAAGATTGAGCAAATCAACCTAAGTATAGGGGGTTGGAAGGGGAGGTCACTAGCAACTCAACATAAGCATAATATACAATACAGAAGAGTTTAACATTTTTTTCCTTAACTGAATTTGGCTAAGGTAGAGTTCTAAAGGAAAAGAAAACCCTTCACTACCACTGAAACAAACACTGAAATACTTAGTAATTTATAGAACTAAAGTTTAAGGTGAATACTGTCCCAGTGTCAAGGGGGCTGAATTGGCTTAAGCTGACCCAGCGTCCATCCACAAAACACTCGCGTGGAAAGATGGACCCCCACCATCCCTGGGGTTTCAAGACTCCCCATTCAGGAAAGAACATTTTATCTCAGTTTTGCTTTGATCTATTTAGGCTTTTTAAACAGCTGCTTGGTACTTCGTGGGATTCTAAAGCTATGTATAACGCAGAAATCATTCTCCAACATATGCGCCTCCTTTTCTTTACAGTGAAGATTATTTTTGAGAACAAAGATCCTATTTTCAAACAAATGTGGTCATTAACTGTGGCGCGCCAGAAAACATATGGCAAGTTTCCTTTCAGCAGAATTGTTCCTAAAGACAGCGACTACGTTCCCATGAGGGAGCACGCTTTCAATTCAGGAGGACGGGGCGGGCTGGGAGCCCCACACAGCCAGCTGATGGCACCCCACGTCCACAAGGGACCAGGAGTCCTCATCACCTGGGTCACACTGAGTCTGATGTCTATACAGTACTTCTGCTGACGGGCACTACTCCTGCAGGGCCCAGAGACAGCTACCTGCTTCCATGCCTTCTTGGGTGGGGGCGCTGGGTGGAGACACAAAACGTCAGAAACTCAAACCGCCTCGCCCCAAAGACGACTATTTTACACTGTTTCCTAAAACCAACTTCGGGGCTCTCCATGATTCACCTTTTCTCATCTTGACAGCAGGATCCATAGAAAGTGAAAACCACAAAAAACATCACCTTGGGAGACGGAAAAAACGAAGACAGATCTGACCACAGGACAGGTGTCTTGGCCTTGACCTACGGAGCAGTGAAGACTCGGGGGTCGCCCCTGGTGCCCCCACTCCGCACGGCGCTGTGCAGACAGTTGAACGAGCGCAAAATGAACACTGCTGAGTCCGCCGGCGTCCGCGGTGGTGCAGCTCAGGGTGTCGGAGGTGGTTTCGGAGATGGGCTGGAGCCCTCACTGTCGACGCTGGTGGCTCGGCCCTGCCACTGCAGAGGGGGGAAGCCAGTTACTGTGGGCCGGGACCCACTCAACGTCCGAAACGTAGCGCTCATGCACCGAAGTCACTTCCCCAGCTTCTTAAAGCTTTCTTGGATTTTGCGGTTTGGCCATGCAAAAACATAAGGAGAACAGCTTGAGAGCGTCTAGCTTGGGATACCTGACTAAAAATAAATAAATAAGCTACTGCAGAGACAACTAAAGCTCTTTTCACTGGGTGGAGCCGGTAGGGTGTGTGTGTGTGTGTGTGTGTGTGTGTGTGTGTGTGCGCGTTACTGAGGTGCTCTGACTGGACCTTTCTGAGTGCTTCAGCCATTTTTCACACTGAGATCGGATTATGTTAGCAGCAAAAGAGACAGTCTGCGAGTGTGTCTTTACTGCCAAGAACCCATGATCATGAATTATTAGCAATGTGTCTGGGAGCCTCAGAACAGCTAAAGCCTTGCTATTGCTTGGCTGTGAGCTCTTCTCCGGCCCTAGATCTCCACCTCGTGAGAGATGAAGGTCAGTGGGTGGCAGCCCCCTCCCCTCCCCCACCCCTCCTCTGTTCTCCAGTCTCACAGCTGCCTCCTTGCAGCTCAACCCCCACCCTCACAAGGTGTGATGGAGTGTGATGGGGATGATGGGCTGGAGCCATTCAACCCTCCTTTAAATGGAAGAACCAGTCAGAGCTGTCTGGGCTGTGTGATCGCCCAGTGAGTCAGTGCTCCTTTTGTGAGCTGAGGAGAACCAGCCCTCTGGCCAAGCTGCTGGCTGTCCTGAGCCTGGCATGGCGCTCTTCTCAGACCTTCAAGGGTCTCCTGTGTGAAGGGAAGGGGGTGGCGGGAGAGGGTGCGTAGAAGCTGCAACTACGAGTCAGTGCCTCCATGGTGGTGGGGTGAGGAGGACCCAGGTGCTCCTTGCAAAGCCATCCCCAGACAAAGCTGGGCTGCCTGGGCAATAGTCCATCTGTCCCCGGCACCGCCCACGGGGCGGGTGGGCAGCCCCCGCTGTGGAAAGAGACCCAGGCCTCCGGAACTCGCTCGACGCGCCCAGCTCTAGAGCAGCCACTGTCTTCCTTCTGCGGCTCATTCTCCACAGCCCCTTGTACAGTCCCAGACAAGCCTGAGGGCCTCTGCCCTCCCCGAGCTGGACAGTCAGGAGCTGCTGACCACTGTCACATGACCCTGCCTGAGCGATCTCAGCACGCCAGACCTGCAGGTCTGCCAGCCTCGTTCTCCAGCTCTTGCAGGCAAAGAAACGGACCCAGAAGGCAAAAGGCACCGAGGGCCGGGCAGAGACAGGCCCAGAGCTTGGCCTCCTGGCCACCGCTCAGAGCCCTTCCCCATCCTGCTGGTCCGGGCCACGCTGGGGGAGGGGCACAAAAGGTGTGAGAAGCAGCCTGACCTGTTGGGGTCCACACCAGGTACTTACTCCTAACTCCGGGTGTCAGTCTCTCTGCTGGCAGCATCCACGTGGATGAAATCACAACCGAGGTTTTCCCTGGTGAAATATTTTACATAAATAAGTGCCTGGCCGTGAGCCCAAGGTGAATTTCTGACTCCAGTGTCTCTTCACCGAAGTCATCACATCGTGACGACCTACCACTGTCACCCAGCAGCCCGTCACCGGGGAGGCCCCACTCTCCCTGTGCCAAGGTGGAAGGTCGGTGAGTTACGGTGATGACTGGCTCCTGCCTGGGGCGAGCCCCTCACGCGGTGACGCGTCATCGTTCCAAGGAGAAATGAAATAGCCACGCATGGTGCCTCTTTTTCTACGACAGCCCCAAAAGAAGCCCCACGGAGCACCGGTGTTTGCCCAGACACACGAAGCAGGCACGTTCGCCGCTCCCTGACGACACAGATAAACACAGGGGGAACTGGGGCTGTGGAGCAGTGAGGTGAATGGTTCTGGCAGCCCGTAGAGGCCTGAAACAGCAAGAACCAGCCTCTCCGCCCCCCACCGGAAGGGGCCTGTCGGAGGTGGCCGTGCACCAGGGAGTTCTGTCATTGCTCTGCCACGGGCGTGTTCCAGCAGAGAGCTAGAACCTCTGGCAGGTGACCCGAACTTGGCCCTTGGAAACAGAGTGGCTTGGAGAAGGTCACTGGCCAGCCTGCGCTGTGTGTGACAGAGAGGACCTGGAGGCGGCAGGGGTGGGGGGTGTGCAGGGGGTCAGGCGCCGTCGGGGGGGGGTACTTGCTATGGCTTAATCAATTTTTATTCGTGGAAAAAAATCCCAGCAGGACAAAAACCTTCTCCATTCATTTGTTCCTCTCACTGTTACTTTAAAACCCCGAGCGAGCAAGCAACGAGACCGCCCTCTGTTCTCATTAAGAAAAGGAAATGACCACAGTGCTTGAACCTCCTCTCAGACAGGCGCAGCTCAGACAGTGGGCCTCAGAGCCGGTGCGCTCAGCTCCCGCAAGCCAGAGAGCACGGTCTCTTTGTGGATTGAGCAGACGGGAGACACAGTTCGAGGAGCGAGCTCAGGGTCCAGAACAGGGCTGAAAAGAAGTCAGGATGCCCTTGGGACACAGGGGGGTAGAGTGCAGCACACGCCACCCCACGGATGCAAAGGACGTTTATTTAGTATCAGCCGGCTGCATTTTTAGATGCATTTTAATAAAGACACGCAAACCGCGCGATTTAAAAGGGTATACATGTTTGTAGTGATGAAATCCTGAGTCGCCGAGACACGCGTTACGTTCAGCTGCTTCTTAAAGAGAAGTGATCAGCTGGGGGGACAGGCAGCCTTGGCGCTCAGTTCCCAGGTCAAGAAAAAGTAAACCCAAAGGATGCGAATCAATTTATTCTCTTTTTGTTTTCCATGTACTGTTACTTTCCCTCTACTGCCTCATCCAATATTTATTTTCAAGGGCTGGGTTCTACTTTATCTTTCTTTTGTAGCCCAGACGAGTGAGTTGGGAATCTTAAAGAAACAAGACTTAGAATCAACTACTGGGCTTCCGTGGGCTGTGTTCATCGTGGAGAGTGACCCTGGGCCCAGCCCCAGCACTCCCACGGTACCCCAGACCCCAGCCACAGCCGCTGCTGGTCCTCCATGCCCAGTTGGCCAGCAAAAGACCAGCCTGGTACCAGTGATGGGTTCTTGCAGGTTCAAGATTCCAGAGCAACCGACCCAGATGCCTTGGATGTCGCTTAGGGCAGGTGCTTTGTAGAAAGGCAGATCGAGGCCGGCCGTTTCCTGCCTGGGCAGTGCTTGCCTGGGGTCCTGCCACCCATCCCAAGCCCCTGTCCTGAAACCAGCCCCCAAATTTCAGTATACTTACTAACACCTCCAGAGATTTTTTAAAAGGAGAGAAATCGGGGCCCTCCCTGGCCTGCCTCAGCCCTGGGTGCCGGGCTGGGGCCTCCAGACGGTCTCAGACTCTGCCCAGCAGCTGCCTCCCAGGAGCTCGGCTGGTGGGGGATCCCCACCCAGTCTCTGCAGAGAGGGGCTCTGGAAGCCAGTCGCCTCCGTGGAGGAGTGCCCGAGCCAGGCGCACTGAAATCCCACAGCCATGGGAACATCCGGGCAAACACAAGATAGAAACGAGAGGCTTCTGGCGGCCAGCAGCTTGGCACTGCCCACTCCTCCCTGCTGGCCTCTGAGGCGCAGGCCTACTAGGGAGCAAATCAATTATCCCGCTCCCTGGAGGCCTCTCTCCTAAAGCCTCCCCTGCACCCCATCCCCTCGGCACTGTTCTCTTGAGACGCCTCACCCAGCGAAGTGGCCGCGATGGTCTGTCCAGCCCGAGAAGCAGCGGGGACCCGCAGGCCCTCCAGATTGCTGCCCACACATTTTCTGGATCACAGAGCATGGGTGGTGGGAGGGATAAAGGTTTTTTCTTTCCTAGTCAGACAGAGGCGCTAAGCTTGACACCTACTAGGATGAGCGAATCACCTCACTTTCTAGGAGAGGGGCTGGGTTATGAAATACTCAATGTGGCCAACATGGCAAGTCCTTCGAGAAAAGGGAGGCCGGGGACCCCCGAGGGGTGGGGCTGGCCGGAAGGACGTCTTCTTTGCGGTTCTGCGAGAAACGACCCTTGAGATTATACAGCAAGCCAGCGGGGCCGAGATGGCGGCGAGCCACGGGATGCCAGGCCTTTATGCCCCCGTGAGCTCCTGCCGGACCTGTGAACCTTCCCCAACAAGGGTGGGGAGCAGCATTCACGGGGAGCCGCCCCGCCACCTCCGGGCAGGCCGTGAGCGCTTTCCCGGAACTGCTGGCTGCTCACCGGGGACGGAAGCCTAACAGGGCAGGGTTCCATGCCAACCTCTTACCGCGCCCCTGTGGGCCAGCTCCTAAAGGTCTGGCTTGGCCTGGGGCTCTGTGAAAGCCTCCGGCCTGGCACCACGGAGCTGCCAGGAAGCCTTCCTCTAAGTGTGCGTTTTCCATTTAGAATCAGTGTGGCTTTCAAAGGCGTTTTGCCGGCCAGCTGCCTGGCCTCCTTCTCTGCGTCCTCCACACCGCGGAGAAGCCCAGGCCCCACCTCGGAAGGACCCGCCGAAGCTGGGGCTCGAGCAGCCGACTGCCATTCTCCTGCCCAGCCACCATGCAGCACCCGTGCCAAGGGCCAAGCTCGACCTCACCCACCTCTTTGAAGGATTTCTTTACCTCCACCAAGGAGTGCCAGTGAGCGATGGGCTTCCGCGGGTAGGCCAGCATCTCGTTCCAGTGGTCCCTGCCCAGGCCTTCAGCACTGATCCCCACACGACACACTCCTATGATCTCGTTGTGGCCCACTCTGCAGGAGACACAAGACCCTGCACTGTAGCGGCACACAGAGGGGCGCTCGGGGGGTTGAGACTGCACCAGCAGGTCTGAGAGTGCAAAGCTCTGGATGCCTGGCAGGTCCTCAGGTTGCCAGAGGCAGTGAAGCTTCGCCCAGCCTTGCTGGGTGAGTGCTGGACACAGAGGAACAAAGGCTTATAAACTTGCTTAGAATTTCAGGCACTGGTGGGCAGATGGCCTGACTTTTGGAAGGGGGGGAGTTTATGTGTCTTCCTTTCTGTGACTCAGCGAGCATCACATCCCAGCTTGAGATGTGAACATTTGGAAATAAGTCAACCTGTTATGAGTACCGCTTCGCCCTCCCCCCAGGGGCTGGGATGTGATTGATCTGATGTAAGAACATCAGACATCACTCAATGGGTCAGCTGGGAAGCAAAGCTCGAATCTTTGCCTGGGTGACCCACACTCCCCCTCAAACCCCCGTGTCCTTCTTAGGTGGGGGTAGATTTGAGACTACTGAATGTCTAGACGCTGAGCCCCAAGGTCTCAGGTCAAGAAGCTGCACTGGAGTGGGGGGAGGGGCAGGGCAGGTGTCGCTCTGGGACCTGAACGTACCGGTCATAATCCATGACCGAGATGAGCAGGCTGACTTGGTCCATGTTCTCCGGAGGGATGTCAAAGATGATGGCCTCGTTGTAGACCGGATTGAGCGTGTTCTTCTTTATGGTTGTTTTCTTCTTCTTCAGTCTTCGCCCATCGCAAAGCAGGGACACTTTGACATATGGATCTGTGCCAGCGGGGGTGAGGGAGGGGAGGGAGCTTGTTAAACAGATGTCTTTGCACAACATTTGCAGCAGGGAGATGGAACCCAGACCTGCCGTTGATCATCAGATGGTATCAGTGGGTTGTTCCAATAATTAAAGCACCTTGTACTTCTGTAAGAACACCTGTCTCCGAGGACGCTCTGCGCTCAATAAACAAGGTCTTTAGCGACCTCGGGATTCTGGGGAGAGAGCTCACTGGGCTTCTACTGATGGGGAAGCTGGCCCCCCACCATTCAAGACACCCTCCCAAGACTGTGCCGTTCATTGCCCAAAGCTCAGCTGCGCGAGGGCTGGCTCGCGCCAAAGGGCAGCGAAGCTGAACAAAGACACTATTTCTTTCACCTTCTTGGAGTCCTTTTCTCTGGGGATTTTGTCGGCATGATTAACCAAAGGATAAGGGGGTAAAAATAGAACTCCATAATGACCAAGGAGTAGCCACGTGTCAGAGTAATGAGCAGCGACAATCACGATGCACTGTGTCTCCCACCAGACAGGGGGTGATGGGTGCCATTGTACCGGCAAGTACATCCATCCAGCACTCCTGGGGCGGGGAAGGGGGAACAGAGGCCCAGAGCTCGCTCCCTAGGGAGCCTTTTCCGGCACCCCACTGGGCAGTGGGAGAGGTGGAGGGGGAGGCGGGGTCAAAGATTCGGGGCAGCTGGTTGACATTTCACATCTCAGCGGGGTCTTGGATTCACTCCCCAAAGCCTCCCTTCCTCGCCGATTCTTCAGTGTTGGGAGTGGGTATTTCGTGGTCATCTTCCTACCCTGAAATTTTCTACTCATCCACAGAAGTGACACCTATTGTGTCTCCTCCTTGCACAGGTGGCTCGGTCACCGTCGTAATTGTTATTTATGCTGCACAGTTCAAGAAACAGGAGGGCCACTCACAGGTAATAGCAGCTTTGGAGACACGGATGTGCAGAGACACCTTCTCACCCAGAAGCCAGGGCTCCTGTGGCTCTGTCAGGAGGCGCTGGCCTGGCAGTCGCTCCCGCTCCCTGACTCCCGGGCTGGGGTCCCAGCCCCCAGGGACCCCAGCACACACTAGGCCCTCAGGCTCCCTGGGCATCCTCTCGGTGCTGACAAGGCACAGGGCTTTGGGGAAGTTAGAGAAAACCGGGACACCTGACCGGAAAATCCAAGCCTGGAGGGCGTTTTGTGGAGACCTGAGAGAGCCCCTGACTAACCATGTGACAATGGCAACTGAGCCTTCCTGCGGGGACAGGGGTTTCCAGGGGAGGTGGGAAGACCATGGGCGCTTCATCAACCCGCTGTCTCTGTCTACTTAAATGGACCCTCTCTCAGGGGGTTTTCTCTGAGCGCCGCCCTGGACCGGCATTCTGCAGCCTCAGCTCCTGCACACACACCCAGAACAGGCCAGGTCTGAGCAGCTGTGGGAAAGCTGTGACATCCTCTGAGCTCCGGTACGGTGGACTCTGCCTTGGACAGAGACCCCGGGCTTGCGGCTCCTCAAGGACTCCCTCATCCCCTGCCCCCACTCCTTCCATCCACGCACACAGCGGACCAGATTTCCACATCACCAGGTTTGGGACAGACACCAAGGCAGGACCACCTGTCCCCTGGGCCGCCAGGCCTCGTCACTGACTGAGAGCCTCAGCTTCCTTCCCCAGCTCTGTTCGCCTCTGTGAGGTGTATCCAGTGTCTAAACTTCGGTGTACGTGCTCCAGGCCAGCCCGATGAGCTCACCAGCATCCCAGAGGCTAAGCAAAGAGGTGACTGTTCTCTAGGGTTCTCTGGGCAGAAGTTCGTGGCTTCCCGTGGAAGGCTGGCTCCAGATGACCTTTGTCTCTCTAACAGCCCCTTGTGCTCTATTAGCAGAGAGACCAAGGCAGCCATGCCTTTCAGCTGACGGTCACGCCCAGCAGGTACTATGTGCCAGACACATGTCAGAACACTTAAGCTGCACACCAGGGCCCTCCCTGATGGCGCAGCACTATGAAACTATCCGCAGCCACTGCAACACGAGTTTGATCCCCAGCCGGGGGGGTGACCCACAGGGCGCAGCAGACCTCTCCTGTCTCCCCGCTGCTCCCCTCAGCAGTGTGCTTCATCCATCTGCCTGTTCTGCTCCCCGCTCTGTCTCTGGTGAATCCTCTCTCACACACCCCATCCTACCTCTGGCCTGCACCCTCGTTCTTATGCTTAAACAGATCTTAAAAATATAAAATAAACTGCATATCAGCCCTATAAAAATTACTTGTCATCCTCCTTCTCATTCTATAGATTAGGGAAACTGAGGTGAAGAGGGATTAAGAAACTCACCTGAGTTTGAGCTCAGGTCTGTGTGGCTCCCAAGTTCACACCTGTAACCACTGCAGCAGTACAGGCAGCTGAGATACGGGGGGCTGCTCTCTCCCCTCCCCTTCGGGGCCTACTGTGCCTATTTTGTATTATTTACTTATTCATTTGTATTTTTACTGTCCTGGTGCCAGCAGGTAAGCTTAGAGAACTGATTCACCCTCAGTTGAGACTGAGGAGCCTGGGAAGATGTTGGTACTAGAGGCCCTGTGCATCAACACCAGGCCATTCGTAAACTCTACTCACTTTCTCGTCTATTCCAACGTCAAAACAGTCTGAGCTGAACAGCCGCAATGTCAAGCTCAAACATGTAGGTGGACAGGCTCGGTGAGGCCCAGAGCAAGTTAGGGTTAAGTAGGCAGATTCTGGGAGCTCTAAGAGGAGGACAGAGAAATTCCGGAGGGCTGATGAGGACAGTAAACAGTAAATTTTAGGAGACCTTGGAGGTGGGGAGGCTCTAACATAAGAGCTGGGGAAGTGGGCATCTGCCTGGGAGAATATAGCCGCCAGGAAAAAGAGCTGATCACAAAACAGGGTGATAGGATTTTAGAGCCGAGAAAACGGAGGTTTACAGACACCCTAGACATGGGCCATCATGGCGTCTTCTGCCCTCTGCAGCAACACCGGCTTGGTCTGCCTTTGAACAAACTTTGTCTTACTTTCATGAATAAAATTTGCTTCTCTCTGCTTTTTGAAGGTTTGTGGGACAAGAACCCGTGCAGGTTCAAAGGCTAAATCAACAGCCCACGCTGGCTTCCCTGGGGCAGATGCTCGCTTATAAGAGTAAACAAGGCAGACAGAAACCCCTGATGGAAAAGGGATGCTCAATTTTCAGCGTCAAGCTGAGATTTAATCCCAGATTTAAGCCCAGGCAGGAAACAGGGGCAGTGGCGAGGGGGAGGTTAGAATTTAGCATGAGCAAAATCCCTCACCCCAAACCTCCCGTGTGGGGCCACCCTGATGGCTCCCCGGCCCCCCACCGTGGCTTCCCCCCTAAGCCTCTCTCCAGCATGTCAATTTAATTATAACAGAGAAGATAGTGCGGGGCTTGGGCAGCTGAATCCTATTTCCCTCAGCAGCCTGGGAGCCCTCAGTGAATTTCCGTCCCTCGCACACACTTATTTTGATATTAAAATTAAATCTATATTGGCTGTATTTTTGGAGGAAGCTGACTTGGCTGTGGCCTAGGAGCTTTGCACGCTCAAAAAGAGGTTTTTTAGGCTCTTCACCCACAGAGATTCCACAGAGGGAGAGAAATGAAAGTGGGTGCCATGGGGGGCTTTTGGCCTGCAAGTTGTGAGCGGCAGAGTCTGTGGGGGCGGGAGCAGAGGCGAAGCTGCAGAAATACAGTTACTTCAGCATTTCAAGACTTTTCCCTTCGAAACCTCGTTACCCCCACCTGGGTACCCGCCCCCACCCCGATGTTTTCGGCTTCCTGGTCACCTCTTTATGGCGACTGTGATTATACTGTGGAGTTTTCCAGGAAGTAAAGAATGGTTACAAGCAAAAATCTTCCTGTACTCCCACCCAGATTCAGGGGTTCTCCATGGCGCAGCCTGGCGATCTGAATCAGCAGAAGCAGCCTCCAGGGCCGGTGGGGGCGGGGCGCTAGAGGACCTTGCTGGGGCTTTGCCTATATTTGCTGCTCTGAGCAGAGCCCAGACTGTCTGCACCTCCTCTTTGGAAGGTTTCGCCCCATTTCACTTCTCAGGCTAATTTGAGCCGACAGGGGGAAGCAGGCCCCAGGGATCCAAGCTCCTCCTCTGCTATTTCAAAACTCAACTAACTTCTCCAGCGATGACTTGCAGAATCGTGGCAAAGGGTCAAACCTCCGCAGGTCCCGGCTGCAGCTGACCCCAAGCCAGCATTTCCTTGGTAGCAAAAGGATTTAATCTCTCCCGCTATGACCTGCAACTCTGCAGGCACAGACTGAGGTTGGAGCCCTGCAGGAGAAGCTCAAGGTCAAATGCACTTTGCTTTATGGTGACCCTGTCTGCTCCTTGGACAGTTGGCAGCACTGCCATAGGGCAGTGGGGTCCTGCAGACACATGCACCCCCCCCCAACTCAACACAGCTCCTACAGGTTATATAAGCTACCAGATTTTCCTTCCTTTTTCCCTCCTGTATATTCACATCTCTTCTCTCCCTCCTCTAAAAGGAAGAATGATAGTAACAGCTAATAGGGACAGAATGCCTGTTACATAGCTGGCGCAATTCTAAGCATTTATATGAATGAACTCACTGCCCTTAAAGCAACAACCTGTGTTTTTCGGATTTGAAACTGAAACATCTCCCAGGAAGGAGGGGGCAGGACTAGCATTCAAAGCCCCGCAATTTGCCTCTCGAAACGGTAGCCCTGTTCTAAGAATACCGGCAATTCTTCCCGGCTTCCTGGCTTCTCTTGCAACCTCTTTCCAAAGTCTAGCGTCTGGGCGGCTGCATGCCCACCGGAGGGCGCGGGGGCAGGACGGGTACCTGAGTAGCCTGTGATGTCCATGGCCTTCAGGTTCCGGCATTTGATCACGGTGAGCGTGAGCCTGCCTGCCGTGGGCAGGTAGCAGAGTGAGAACATGATCTCGCCCAAATCCACACTTTCCTGCAAGAAGCAGACAAGAGGGCAGATGAAAGGCCCTGACCCCCCGCGGCTTCTGCAGGGACCCTGGGGGCTCCGGGGGCACAGTGCCTGGTCCTCCAGACCCGAGGGTCTTGCCTCCGTGCGGGGGGTACCTGGCCACGAAGACACCACCACCAACATTGCTCTTGCGCTTCCTGCTTCAGGAGGGAGGACCTGTGGCGTGGACCCACAGGCTCTGAGGCAGGTGCTGCTTAGGGCTCCCAGCCCTGGGACACCCCAGAGGCCAGGGTTTGCTCAGGTGCGGTCCTCTGTTCACTCCTTCGTTCAGCACACAAACTGAGCACCTGCTGTGTGTCGGGGTCACTCTAGGTGCTCGAGACACAGGAGAGAAGCTTGCCCCTCTGGGGCTTGCATCCCACCAGAGCGAAGCCCAGGAGAAAAGGTCAGTAAGCAAGTCGGATGGTAAAAAGCTCAACAGGCCCTCCCTGGTGGCGCAGCGGGTTAAAGCACGGCACTGAGAAGCTGAAGCCACTTTGGCATGAGTTCGATCCCTGCCCCAGAGGTGACCACACGGAGCGGCAGACCTCTCCTGACCCACCCACCCGCTCCGCCCCTCAGCAGTGTGCTTCTGCAGTCGGACTGTTCTGCTCTCCGCTCTGACTCTGGTGAAGCCTCTCACCACCCCTGCACCTCTGGCCTGTACCCCAGTTCTGTATGCATCAATAAATAAATCTTAAAAAAAAATAAGCTGAATAAAGGTCAGGCAGGGAACAGGGACAGGACATGTTCACTGGGAGGCTATAGTTGTTAGAATTTTAGACAGATGGGCCAGGGAGGCTTCCTGAGGGGGTGACTTATGAGAACGAGGGCAGTCGAGGGTGACCCCGAGGTGCCTGTCCCTTACAGGCACCTCTTACAAAGGCTCTTACAAAGAGCCAGGAGGAAAACAAGCTCCTCTCTCTCCAGCCAGGCTTCTGGAGCGTGTAGTCCCAAAGCCATCCTCTAGGGGGCACTGGTACCCCCTTCTCTAGGCTGGGGCGTCTGTCCTGAGCCCCTCTTCAACCCATCCTCACAGCCCTAGTAGCAGGGGGTCTTCCAGCTCCCAGGAGAGTCTGGCCCGCAGAGCGCACCGTGCACAAACAGCTGCCCAGAGCCAACCAGCCCCGCTGCCCAGAATCCATCTCCACCTCCGAGGCTCAGCAACTCTTCCAGGCAGGGTTCCCCCCATTGCTCAGAGGAAGGACTCGGTGTTGAAACCCAGGCAGTACAGAGGCCCAGCCTGGCTCCAGCTCCTGGGCGCACTGCCCTTGCGGCCTGCCCAGGGGGCCTCGCCTCACCCCGGACCTCTGGCCACAGACCAGGTCATCCCCTGCTTCATCTGCTCACCTGTTAGTATCAACTGAGGCCTTCTAGAGGAAACTCACTCTGAGGCACGTAGACAGCCCCCCGACATGCTCACAGCCCAGCGGGGCGCATGAGGGCGCCACGGGGCCCTCCCTGGTGGGGCAACAGTTAAAGTGCAGCACTGCAAGCTGGCCAGAGCGGTTTCAGCGTGAGTTCGATCCCCGCCCCAGAG